ACTATGCAACATTAGAGGATTGCTTGATACCTAAATTTATTTTTAAGAATGGTTGTTTCTGGGTAAGTGGAAGCTGTAGACTTCCGAAATTTCTTTTATGTTGTTCAAATTTTCTTTTGAAACTTTTGAAAGAAGAAAAAAAGAAAGCTTAAAGATTACAAAGTCTAGTTACACTTCTCATTCTTCTTGACCTCGGTTGAGGTATTTAGCCCCTAGCTATAGTCTTTCTGTCCAATTCCTGCCACCAATCCAGTGAACTTCAGTATCTTTGAGCAGGACTGATCTACCATCCTTGCTTTTCAATTCCTTCATATCCCATTTCCAGTGCCTTCTTCAATTCTATAATTTAGTCCAAAGAATTAATGTTTATTTTTGAGAGAGAGAGAGAGAGAGAGAGAGAGACAGAGCATGAGCAAGGGAGGGGCAGAGAGAAGAGAGAAACACAGAATCCAAAGCAGGTGCCAGGCTCTGTGCTGGGGCTCGAACCCAGAAACCATGTGTGAGATTATGACCTGAGACGAAGTCGGATGCTTGACTGACTGAGCCACCCAAGCACCCACAGTCCAGAGAAATTTTATATACTGTATTCATTCAGCACTGTTCACCTCTAATGTTTCTGTGCTTCTTGCTCTGGTCTGCTTTTAGATGAAAATGCCTTGTTTTTGTGAAAGAAGTAACACATGTTCGCTGGAAAATTCTTTCAGAAAATACAAAGATTCAAAAGAGAGAATCAAAACACTGCAATCCAGGGCATACCACGCAGCATTTTTGTAACCTTTTAAACTTTTTGTTAGGAATAGGTTTTTTTGTTTATTTTCTAAGATGGGATCTTACTATACATTTTGCTTTTGTAATCTGATTTTTGCCACTCAATGATTTGTCGTTCTGAGCCAATAAACACAGATCTACATCACCATTATTATGGCTGAAAAATAACTTATCTTATGACTCTAATATTCTTTGCCTAAGCCAGAGTGTCACAACCTCAGCATTATTGACATTTGGGCCAGATAATTTATTGTAGGGGTTGTACTGTGCATTGTGGGATGTTTTACAGAATCCCTGCCCTCTACTTGCTAGATGCCAATAACAACATCCCCCTAGTCATGATAATCAAAAATGCTTCCAGCTACTGCCAAATGCCTTCTGTGGGCAATATCGCCCCAGTTGAGAACCACTGATATAATCAATCTGCTATTATTTGACATTTACAGTTACCTACTTTTTCACAATTAAAAACAGCTGTGCTAATAAAGATCCTAACATACATAAACTCAGCACTTCTTCAAATTACCTGAATAGCTTAAATTTCTAGAAAGGAAGAATGTACTTTCCTTTTGTAGTTTATTTATTTATTTTTTAGACAGAGGAAAAGAGTGCATACAGGAGCAGGGGACGGGAAGAGAGAAGGAGAGAGAGATTCCTAAGCAGGTTCTATGCTGTCAACACAGAGCCCAACGTGGGGCTCAAATTCATGAACTGGGAGCTCATGACCTATGTCGAAATCAAGTCAGACACCTAACCGACTGAGCCACTCAGGTGTCCCATGTAGAACATATTTTAAATACTGATGTCTATTCCCAGATAGTTCTCCATAAGGGCTGTATCAATTTGTAGTACCATTTAAACCGCAAAAATGACATTCCCTCAGATCTTATCCAAGTACTATCCATCTTTTAAATCTTTCTTAGTGATGGGACACCTGGGTGGTTGTGAATTCAAGCCCCACATCAGCCTTTGCGCTCACAGCACAGAGCTTGCTTCAGATCCTCTGTCTGCCTCTTTCTTCCCCTACCCGGCTCACTTGCACGTGCATGCTCTCTCTCTCTCTCTCTCTCTCAAAAATAAACAAACATTAAATCTTAGTGAAAAGTAAAACCTGATACTACTTTGTCCTTTTAATTTGTAAATTCTTTGATTTGCTAACCAGGTTGGTAACTTTTACTGTGTTTATTGGCCATTTGTATTACTGCTTTTGCAAACTGCAAATTAAATGTCTTTTGTCCATTCTTGATTTTGTAAGAACTAGTAATTCTTTCTTCCAGTTTGTAATTTTTCTGGTAACATTTATGTGAGTTTTCCTTTACAGAAAGTATGCATTTTTATATCATCAAATGATCAGCCTTTTTATTGTGATTTTACTGTTAGTGGTGTCATGCTTAGAAAGATCACTTCTGGGGGCACCTGGGTGGCTCAGTCAGTTGAGCAACTGACTCTTGATTTTAGTTCGGGTTTTGATCTTGCGGTTCATGAGATCGAGCCCTTGGGGTGGAGGGGGCATTTAGCTGACAGCGCAGAGCCAGCTAGGGATCCTCTCCTTTCTCTGCCCCTCCTGCTCACTTCCTCTCTCTCAAAATAAAGAAATAAACTTAAAAAAGAAAGAAAGAAAGATCACCTTTGAAATCTTATACTTTAGTGTTTTACTCTATTAGACCAATCTTCTATTTAACTTTATTTCTTGCTGCACTCTAACACTAAGCCTTTGCAACCCCTAAACCAGTGCAAATCACGTTTGAATGTACATGTGCATTATCTGGAATCTTATTAAAATTCATGTTCTGATTCAGTAAGCCTGTAGTGGGACCAGGGAGTCTGTCTTAAAAACAATCTTCCAGGTGATGTCAGTGCTGTTCCTGGACCACACTTTGAGTCCCTAGGTTTTAGAACGTCAGCCCTCAATCCTCTGTACTCTCTACCTTCCTGAATTCGGCTCTTCCCTGAATTTGCTTCCCTTCCTACCTACTGTGAACCTCAAGGGCAGTAATTTCAACTATACTTACCCCCTTTGTTTTTCTGGAACAACAGTCTTTGCAATCTCCACCCCAGTATTGGCAGACGCACTATTTCTCCAGTCTCCAGCCACACTACCACTGAAGGAAATCCTATAACTGCTACTTTCTTCTATAACAAATGTGTCATTTCTAGAGTCAGAGCAGCAAGCGTTCACTTTGTTCCTGGAAAGCTCCCTTTCTCATTATTATAGTAACTTTGCCTAAGTTGATAAGTAACCTTATCAACCCTATTCTACCTCTTTGAAACCTCTTAGTCAATAAACAACAGTGAAAGAACCTCTTTAAAGCCATCGAGAAGTCACATTCAGCATAATAATTGCTGCATACTTAAAAAAAATCCACTAAAGGGGCACCTGGGTGAGTCAGTCAGTTAAGCCTCTGACTCTTGGTTTCAGCTCCGGTTGTGATCTCACTGTTTCGTGACTTCCAGACCCAGACCGGGCTCACAGTTCAGAGCCCGCTTGGGACTCTCTCTGCGTCTCTCCTACTCATGCTGTCTCTGTCTCTCTCAAAAACAAACTTAAAAAATTTTTTTTAAATCCAATCAAACCCCAACAATGTCTTATTAAGGTTTTCCAACTCATAGAAGTCTGGGTGTTTTTTTTTTTTTTGGTTTTATTGCTGTTTTTGTTGTTTTCTTTTGAGAGAGAGAGAGAGGGAAGGAGATCATGCACTCAGGCACATGCACTGGGGAGGGGCAGAGAGGGAGAATCCCAAGTAGGTTCCACGCCTAGTGAGGAGCCAAAGGAGGTCCTCCATCCCACAACTTTGAGATCATGACCTGAGCCAAATCAAAAGTCAGGGGCTTAACAGACTGAGCCCCCCAGGTGCCCCTGAAGTCTATTTAAAGACTTAAGAATTAAACTAAATTACTGAATAAACACCTCACACAGTTCTTACAATGTGCCTGCCAACTTCAGTTAGGTAGGTATAATTATTATTTCCATTTTACGGACCAGGAAACTAAGGCACAGTGAGTTAACACAACCTCTGAAGAGTCAGAGCAAGTGATTGGGACCCAAACTGTGTGCCTCTGTAGTCTTAGGTTTTGTGTGTCTCCGCCCTGCTGCCTGGGAATCACAGGAGGCCTCACTGTTCCTAAAAGCTCAATTCTACAATAGTATCTCTATCTGTGACAAAGAAGAGGCAGGCAAATCAATAGCGGTTTTCAGCTCCTGACTGCGTATTTGATTCACACAAGGCACTTTTTAAAAAATATCCTTCCCGGGGCCTTACCAAGAGAAATTCTGTTCAGTTAGTCTTGAGTGGGGCACTACTATTTTTAACCTGTTAGAGAGAAACGTTATTCCCAAACGAGTGGTTTTCAAGCTGTTTGTACTCACTGGACCCTTGATACAAATCTCCAACTACTCTGCAAGGTAACGTGTGACAGGTGTGTGAGGTCTTTGCCCACACCACGAACGGCCTCTCGGGCTTTGGTGAAATATTTGTTATTCCTAGTGCAAATGTAGACCAGCCCACTCTTCCAGTAAGAAGCATTTTAGGAAGAGGGAACTGATATTGGCGTAGGGAGTATTGGTGGAGGGAGTGTTGGATTCACAAACAGGGGCTCTGCTTTCTTCCGCGTGACTTCCAGTTTTAAATTTAACCTAGTCAATCTCATACACCAAGTAATTTGTCAGCAATGTTCCTGTACTCTACACTTGGCAGTTTAAAACTTCTACACACCTGCGTTCTTCTGTCTTAAATCCCACGCGTCCTCAGAGCATGGCTGGGGAGCCTGACACAGCTGGGGGCGCAGTTCCCTAGGGCTCAAGAGACGCTAAGAGCCACGTGGAGGTCCAGATGAGCTACAGGCCCAGCTCTTAGCTGTAAACTCACAACAGCTGGAGACACCCAAACGCCCGCGTGCCCCTCGCTGGAGCCCTGGCCCAGGAGAGGACACACTTCCAACCCGTGACGCTGGTAAAGCCCGGGCCCGCGACAGGCGACCTGGCTTGTCCCCCACCCTGCACATGCGGACGCAGCCCCTGAACACCGCAGGGCGCCGGCTCCAGTTTGCCCAGGTGCGAAGGGCGCTGAACTCCCCTGGCCGCGCAGCTCGGCCCCGCCCATGAGGGACTCGCGCGGCTCCTGAGTGGGCCGGCGGGACGTCAGTCAGGCCCCGGGGGGGGCGGGGCCTGAGTTGCGCCCGTCCCCCAGCCGGCTATAATGTCGCGCCCCGGCTGGCTGCGGGCGGCGGGTGGTGGTGCGCGCCTGGGCAGGGGTGAGGTCCAGGGCGTACGGAGCCCGGAGCAGCTGCCGCAGCTGCCGCGGCGACTCTCGGAGGAGAGGGAGAGGAGGTGAGGGAGGGGCGGGCGGCGGCGGGATGGAGGGCACTGGTTGCTGCCGGTGCTCCGCTTGCACCAACTCCGGAAGGTGCCGCTTCCAACTTTTACCTCCTTGGAAGCAGGGAGCCGTAGTGTCAGGAGACTTGACATTGGAGTGCTGAGCCGAGCTAGTGACGTGCACAGCCTCGCCACCCCCCCCCCCCCCCCCCCCCCCCCCCATCTGTTCTCAGCTTTGTTATTTTTATTTGTCTCTAGAAAATGGACTTCGCCCGCTTCTGGCTAGGGCTGCTGCTGCCTTTGGTAGCCACGCTGGATTTCGGCTACCACCACCAGAAGGACATGGAAGAGTTTTTGAAGAGCGTGGCCCAAAACTACAGTTCTATCACTCGTTTATACAGTATTGGGAAATCCGTGAAAGGTAGGGTCTATCTCGTGCACTTTCCCAAACCCTCAGTCCTCGCTTTCATTCATTAAATATGCCTTGGCTCCCTGAACCCTTTCCCTGAAGCTGCCCAGAGGAGCTCCACGCGGGTAGACCAGTGGCTTGCGTGTTGGTTGTTTTCTGCTTTTGTGTGTTGTGTTGGGTTACTGTGTCAGGGCAGTGATAGGAAGACCTGAATTTTCCTAAACGTCTCTGCTGTCATTCAGTGTCATTGCGTCCTACATGTTAATGGCGTTCTTTTTTCGATCTCGCAGGCACTGGTTGCTTGGGATGTGTATTTTAGTTTTTCTTGGTAAATAAACTTCTGTTAAGAAAGTCTCCATTGTATCCATCGCGGCTTTCCCTTCTTGTTGGCTTCTTTAAATATGGTCTGGACTGTTAGTATTTTTTTCAAGTCTCTTTTAAGCTGAACTAGTTCTGTTGGTGAGATTTCGGTCATGTATAATTAGTCCTATGACTTAAAGTGATGCGAAACCGTCACTTCTGTAAGTTCTTTTTAATGTTAAAGAGTACAATTGGTAAGATTTGTGTCATGTGTAATTAGCCCTATGGCTTAAAGCTATGCAAAAAAGTGGCTAAGACACTGATCAGAGGCTGTTTTAAAATTATCCATTTGAATAAAGCAATTGCTGGTTAATATACGTTAGCAATGATTCAGACTAGCATTTTCATGTTTATCATTTAATTAATTTAGAAACTATATATTAAATATTAAGCCTCATTTTTATAAACCGGAAATTTAAATCAGAGAGCTATTAAGTATTTTGCTCAAGATCACCAGGTGGTAGATTTTATAACCAGGATGGCATTCAAACCATTCTACTTAAAGGCTTAGATATTTGGGGGAGAAGGTAAATACTTTTAGCAGACATTGTTATTTCTTAATCTTCTTATATTGGTACCCCTAAAGAGATTACCTGAAAGTTTAATGCTTAAGTCAAAAGTTTTGTCAAGTTTGGGGCGCCTGGGTGGCTTAGTCGGTTAAGTGTCCGACTTTCGCTTGGGTCATGATCTCACGGTTTGTGGGTTTGAGCCCCGCGTCGGGCTCTGTGCTGACTGCCAGCTCAGAGCCTGGAGCCTGTTTCAGTCAGTGACTCCCTCTCTCTCTGACCCTCCCCTGCTCACGCTGTCTCTCTCTCTCTCTCCTAAAAATAAATAAAGCATTTAAAAAAAAATTAAAAAAAAGTTTTGTCAAGCTTATGCAATTTGGATCTCCACTCTTCATAAGATATTTCCTAAGATATGTTGAAACTCTACCTAGGTTTTAGCTCTGAGGTTTTGAGCCAAGGAGTGTTTCTTAATTACCATATTCTCAATCATTTTCCAAAAAAATCAAGTCCTGGGTTTTATGTTAAAGAAGACCTGTTATACAAATTTACTTATATGCAATGCAAAATAAAAATCCTGGGTCATGTGCGTAAGGGTACCTTTGTTTTTAAACAACATTGCCAATGAGTTGGTGTCAGAATTACTCTATATTGCTCTATAATTTCAAATTACAGAGGTTGGATGTGTGAGAAATCGTATCTTGAATCAGCATATATATTCAGCCTTTTGAAATCCTTTTCCCCTAGGGCTAGAGAAGAGCAGTTTTAAAAGATCTAAGAATACTCATTATATTAATGAAGCAAATATAGAACCTAACTATCTTGAGTTATTGTTCAGTCATCATTTAAACTCCAAGGTGATGAGAGTGTTAATTTTAAGTACTAAGTGATTTGGCAGGTTTTTATCTTCTCCAGCACAAAGTGCTTTGAAGGAAAATTGGGGAATCTTCTTCTTAATGTGAGCCAGCTATTCTGATCCATCTTGCATGGCATCAGACCACAGTAACAGTGAAAGCCAGCAGGCTTAATTTTACTTTGTGTGCACCCTTGTGGCGAAAAGACTGGGAAATTATCACGTAAAACTAAATTCTGACACTAGTGGTCAAATGTGTTGCATATATTGTTGTGAATAATTAGTCAGATTAGGAAAACGTTTCCAAGTGGCAGGTTAAAACTCTACATTGTATCCCTGCCTGTTATCATGAGCATGGAAAACCAGTGCTCATTTCTTGGTACTCTTTTCACTAGACTAGGCAGTTTTCCCAGCTGTCTGCCCTCTGGTGTAGGATAAGTTTTGCTTAGCAAACAGCATTTACCATACGTGTTATTTATTTATTAAAAACATGGACAGCCTACCTAGAAGAGAAAGTAGTATTCCTACCCGGTTGAATACATTTTCAGTTTTTGTAAATATATATCATGTATATTGTTGTAATCATGGATCTATTCTGCTTTTTTCTTCAATTCACATGATCTCATTACATATTTCTGTGCATTGACAAGATCTGTGGATGTAAATTGGTTGTTTTATAGTATTTCATCCTCTTGGTTACGTGAGTTTTTCTTAGTCCTTCACCTCTTTGGAGCCTCTGTACAGTTTTTGATGATGTATCATAAATAATGATGCTTTAAAAGCATCATCATGATGATAACCTTCCATTATAATTGGTGATCTTTTTTCAGTTTTTATTTTGAAATGTTTGAAACCTACCCAAAAGTTGAGCACACTTATACACTTTGCCCACATTTGGCCATAGTAGGCTGACCATATTTCAGCTGAGCCTTTGGAGGAAACCCCATTACCTAATGTCCTAGTAAAATCTTAGGTGAAACAAGAGAGGCAACTCAACTGACACCTGAGTTGAGAAAAATTAGAAAAGGTACAATATTCATTGGTGTATTCATTCATTCCTCTATTTAGTTAAGTCAACATACCACCACCACCTTTTTTTTTTTTTTTTTCTCCTACCCTCTTTGTCTAATATGTTGCTGGCACATATTCAGTAATTTATATGTTTATTCAGTGAATTGAATGTTTACTGAGTGAAGCCAGCAAAGGTGTGTGACATTCATTGCCTGCCACTAGGTAGCCCCCTTTAAAGAACAAATGTATTTATTGTAGATTTCTCCAATAAGCCTTTCCACACCACCCAAAATTAGTTCTAGAATATTTTTTGCTCCCACTTTTTCTTCTTTCTTTCTCTTTCCTTCCCTCTCTTTCCTCCTTTCTGGCTTTTTAAGTTTCTATTTTAATTTCAGTTAACATACAGTGTCATGTTAATTTCAGGTATACAATATAAGTGCTTCAACAATTCCATACATCACCTGGTACTTGTCACAAGTGTACTCTTAATTCCCATCACCCCATTTCACCCATCCTGCACACCACCCCCGCACTCCCTCCCCACCCCCTTGCCTCTGGTAACCATCAGTTTGTTTTCTATAATTAAGAGTTTATTTCTTGGTTTGTGTCTTTTTTTTCCCTTACTCTTTTGTTACTTAAATTTCATATGAGTGAAACCATAGGGTATTTGTCTCTCTCTGACTTATTTTGCTTAGCATTCTACTCTGTAGCTCCATCCATGTCCTTGAAATGGCACGATTTCATTTTTTATGACCAAATAATATCCATTATATATACACACCACGTTTTCTTTATCCATTCATCTATTGATGGACACTTGGGTTGCTTCCATATCTTCCAAATAATGCTGCTATAAACATGGGGATACATGTATCCCTTTGAATTGGTGTTTTTGTATTCCTTGGGTAGATACCCAGTACTGCAATTAGTAGATAGTAGAGTAGTTCTGTTTTTAACTTTTTGAGGACACTCCATACTGTTTTCCAGAGTGGCTGCACCAGTCTGCATTCCCAGCAGTGCATGAGTATTCCTTTTTCTAGTTTGACGACCATTTAAAATGAGATTTTCCACCATCTCTTTTTTAAGAATCTTAACCTCCTAAGTCTAACCTTTACTTCATCTGAATAAAGAAAGTTGCGAAAGGCAAGTAGATTATAAAAGTCTTTTATTCAGTGCTTTCCATGCATTATGTATTTTAATCCATTATTTCGATCTCCCCAACTCTGAGTAGGTATTGTTATCCTTGTTTACAAAACACATCAAGTGAAGCACAGGGAAGTTAGTTGCCGAAGATCACAGCCAGTAGGTATTAGAGAATTCAAATACAGAGCCTTGCATCTCCCTAGCAGATCTCTTTGCTCTTTAAAAGAAGCAGTTTGACACAGCTGTAGGTGGTTATAAGGAGACTGAGGTGGTTGGTGGAAGGTTTCAGACCACAGTCTGGGCCATTTGACAAATATAGCCTGTGCCAAGGATCTGTAGCTCTGTTGACGGTATGGTGGCCACTAGTCACCTGGCTATTGAGGAGTTGGAGTGTGACTAGACAGAATTGAGATGTGCTAAAAGTGATTTTGTAGACTTCATACAAAAAAGGAAAATCCTTCGTTAAAAATGATCACATGTTGAAATAATTTAGAACTGTAGGTTAAAATATTTAAAAATTTCACCTGTTTCTTTTTTCTTAATGTGGTTATGGTTACTACAACATTTTGTTTTAAATTCTGCAGCTTGCATTGTATGTTGATTGGGCTGTGCTGACCTAGAGAGAAATTTGTTACTTTTTTTCTGAGTACAAAAGGAATTCAAGTTCATTTAGAAAAGTTGGAAGATACAGCAAAGCACCGAAAAGAAGATTAAAACTTCACCATACGAAGGAAACATTTGGTAGACTAAAATCACTGTGTACTGCTCCGTGCCTTTCCCCCTCCCTCACACTAAGCCAATTATCTTGTTTGTCCATGCAAACATGTTATTTCTAAAACTTGATGTTCATGCCTGCTTTGTGTCCTATCAGTGGAAATCCTAGTGTTTATTTAACATCTACCCTACTGGTGGACATTTAGTTTGTTTCTAAACTCTTCCTGTTACAAACAATGCCACAGTAGACCTCCCAGCTAAGACCGCAAAAGTTGCCAGAGCACAGACTTGGGAACCACAGTGCCTGGTGCAAATTCTGGATCCTCTGTAGCAATGTGACCTGGAGTTGTTGGGGTAATTCCTGCTTCATAGAAAGTGCTGCATAAAACCTGCTGTTTGGGATACATTAGCTGTTCTTAGGGATACGT